GTCTTATTTATCACTGTTCTCAAGAAACGCCTGTACCATAAGTGCCAACAATGTACTCCACATTCGGCTGATCTGGTTTAAGACATACAATGGATAAGCTCTTTCAGTGTTCGTCGACCGGGAAACATTTGCGACATGTCCAATTTACGCCATTGCTGTGGTCCTGCTCATGCACTCCGCCACAGGATCTCGCTGCTTCCACAACTTACAACAAATATTGATCTTACTGTTCCTGCAAGCATATTTCAATCCCGATGGTAAAGCTTCTTGAATGTGGATGCCATGTCGAGGCTGGAATCATTCAAGAAACGACTTATTTACCCGCAAAAACTCGCGCTTCAGGAGTCTATATCTTTGGGAATGGGACTGTTAAGAATTCGGTATAGAGGGAAGGTGTGGAAAGCGAGCTAAAGATACACTTATTCAAGCGTAGGGAAGCCCAATATACAAAGGGCGAGCCTTAGATAGGCGCGCGATGGATATTTGGCCGAGGAGCTCGGAATCGGAAAGCTACAAACGAAGCGTATTGATCTCAAGTCATCAACATCGACATTGAAGACCATAAGAACGCGCATTCGAACTATCTGGGGTGCAAAGATAACACATATATATTCTATCTATGTGTGTTCGGCACAGACTCTCGATAAAAACATTTCCAAGGGGTCAGGCGCTAATTTTCAGCAAATGCATCAATCTCAATGTTGACAGCTGTAACGTAGACCAGGGAATGATCGACTACTGTGCAGCATATTTAATCCACTGTTACACAAGATTACAATTGCCTAAATCAAGTGTCTAGCAGTCAAGTGCCTGTAGAAATAAGAAATTGCTACTAGGTGTTGATTCGCAGATATGCTGATGTGTTCGATGAAATTAAACAAAGTGGAGCACGTGGTACAACGAAATCGAAATGATTCAATCATCGAAACTGACATAAAGAAACAAGTAAAAATAAAGCGACTATCGATCTCAAGCGCCTGTAATTAGTGTCCTTATAGAGATAAATTAAATCTGGGAAGATTGAAAAAAGCAGTCGAATCCGAATCAAGGAGATCAAAAACGAACAATATTTGCGTATCTTTTCGAAGTCATTCGAACGAAATACCATGTATGGCGTGAAATTGTATGCGCCAAAATTAACGAAAGCAAATAGCAGTGACTCGCCTCTCGACGGTATGATATGAATGCTACACTTGCAGGCGCGTATATGGATGCGTGAGATTTCTCGACGGCATGTGTACAACTCTATAACGACCGTCGCCTGCATGAAGCTGTGCCTGGAGGACATTTTCACTCTAGATGAAAAAGCGAACAATTTCACGGATGGAGTGACGGAGATGGAAATCATGCAGAATCCGGAGTATATCAGTTCCTTGGGCACCGAGGTATTGCATGACGTCGTACTGACTCATGTTCGAAGCTCATGCGCGTTTCTCACTGGGAGAAGTTCCAAACACGAAAATATGTGACGTATGAGGCATTGCTTGCAACTGAAGCTATAACGGACCATCGCCACTTGATCCTCAAAGCGTACTGCACATAGTTTGAGACAACGTCTGTAACGGGGCACACCCTTGCGTGAACTTAACGCAAGGGTTTTGGTGCGCCTGACAGACGCGCACGAGGTAAACGAGGAAGAGTAGATAAGGGAAAAGTAAAATTGTTGTATCAATATAATTAGGGCTTTTGTTACTGTCTCTCTGTTTAACCTGACTTAATTATGTTAATCTAACTGAGTGTATGGTGACATCTCGTCACCACTCATTGCGCGCGTCCTGCGGCGATTGGTGGGTTGATATCGTCAAGATATCAACCAATGAGCAGACCCTTTGGTCGCTTCACCAATATCACCACTATCGGTGATATTGTTCGAAGAGTATTCAACTTGATATTCTTTATTGTCATTGTTACTATAAAGTGACAATTCCATGTAACGGGCTGCCCCGTTACACCGTCAGTGCCTTCTATTCGATTTATCCATATATTAAGGATAAGCAGATTCTTATATCTTTTTTTCATGCGTTAAATAGCAACATCGGCATTTTTATGGTCATTATACTTCCCGAATCAAACGATGAGAAGCATCATTTCTCGTTGTTCCTTTGTCTTAATCACAAAAAGCTTCCTTCAATATCTTTATGTCTAGTTATAGATTGCACAAGAGATAGAAGGAAACATAAAAAGCAACAATGACTCAGGCTGTCCCTACGAACGCTTCTACCAGATTCTACAATCACCTACCGACACGGCGCTTGTGTTATCATATGTTTAGTTGAGTTTATCTTTTTCCAGACGCGATGGTATTGCACCGTGATAATTAGCCTACAGAACGAAATGTTACCACGTGCACGCATGACAACTAGTATCTTATCTTATAATAAAGAGGTCATAATGCTGAGCTTGTCGTTCGCTCGCGCCGGGGTGTCCTAGCTACTACAGGATGTCGTCGGGCTTGTCCATTATCGGGATCTTCCTGTAATTTCGCCCAGTTGATATTGTGCCTTACTTGCGCTGGTCGCACGACCTCTACTGAGTGCCAACACTGGCCACAACGTAGTATAGTGAGTATCTATCAGCGTACGATTAAACAGCTTCCTAAAAATAGTTGACCCTTCCTTAGTAGAGACCTTATTTATTTTTCGGAACCCTTTGTCGGAACCGTGTCGGAGTTTTCGTGGTGTGGTAGATTTAAACCGGTAATGCATGATTTTATGCGACCCGATTGTCTTGGGTGTACCATCTAACTTCTACCACCATTTCACGACAACTGCAGACAAGCGACACGAATCGAGTGGTATCTCGTCAAACGGCCGTCTGAAACCGTTCATTAAGAGTCCTAGTGCATTTGAACCATCACAAATATAGTGTCTATTCTTATCACCAATTACCTCCAGGTATTGAGCTCTGTAGAGTCGGAGTGTACCAAATAATGGGAGTACTAGCATTCACTTCACCAACAGTTTCCAAAAGCGCTGGTTGTAACCGTTGTAACTCTTGATGGTCGAATATTGCCATGATTTAAAAGTATGGAACCAGCAATCATACACGCAATCAAAAACCTTGCTTGATTGTTAACATAGTAAAAGATATGCAGTCATGACTCAAATGCTAACAAGGCGTCGTCTTGACAGCATCAAGGGCCAAACGATAACCATAAACGCATTCTTTCTTTCGCCAATGGTCATTTTGTGACTAATTTCCGTTTTCGTGCAACGAGAAATATGCTAACAAATTATGGCTGAGTAAATGCTGCGACGAAATGCTCGAGCTTCTGCGTAACACAGAGTTCCGTAACAGTGTATCAGTGCAGTCGTTGACAGAAAAACGCAGATTCAAAATTCACGAGTCAACTGCTTTCGAAAAAAACGTTAATCGAAATTCGCCCAGCTTGTCGGCTGGGTAAATTCAAGACGCCCGATCTTATGTCCATTTTCGTTATTGCCAACGAAAACGGACGCCACGAAGCCAGCCAAACAGCATTGCTACTTGAACTGGAGCAAATATAGACAACCGACAAGGACAATGCATATGTACTTCAGATTGAGTATGAACATGACGCCTGCTAGAGACGGCCGCTTTCCAGCTCCGAGAAGCAACAAGGCCACCGTAATATGCCAATTTGCCTAACAGATAGAACGTGATACGTTTGGAATCCCTCCCTCGATCATCTTGTCGAAGCGAGACTTTGGTTGCCGACCCGTACGCGTGTATTGCGGCAACTAGGGAGCAACAATTATTAGCGTTACAGGGAGAAGTGCGACCCAAAGAAGTGTAATTGAAACGCTTTATACGACAAAATGCCTGCTTGTCACAGCTCATGTAGGAAGCATAGCGAGAACGAGTCGCACTGTCGCACTGATAAAAGATTTGTGGGATTGAAATACTAAATTACTGCACTAGTCTTGACAAATGCAAGTCTTGCAAGCACTTCATTACGCCCATTCATTTCTGCGACAGCAAAAGAAGCGACTCCCGGCAATAGCGCATATCCTGATTCCTTTGATGGGCGTACTTATGGTACCAACAAAAAGAAAACTACTTCTATCAGTTTACCAGATGCACCTCAATACGAGCCGCCTTGCAGCTTCAGGATGAGCATTTCGTCTACGTTGATCATGTGATATACTTGCTTTTGTGGCATCTGACCTACCATAGAGCCGTAAAACGTAGAACACACCGCTTCTACAGCACGCGGAGCGTGAATTGGAGCTGGACGGGACCATCACTGTTGTTGAGCACACTATAAGTAACGTCGAGCGCATGACGCTATGATACAATGCTAATTTCAGTGCGGATTTGTACTAACAATGTGCGCCGAAGGATGCAGCATTACCACTGCATATGACACGATAGCAAGAGGGCATAAGAGTTGTTCTCTTCTGATGCCCCAAACTGCATGGTCTGAGCTAGTCAATTGCTGTCAAGCGTTTAGCGCAGTCGAGCCTAGACTTGATCAGCACACTCTAACAAGTCTTAAGCAATCAAATCAAGCTTTTTACTGCCGATAGCAAAGCTTTTGTGGTTTCCATAGACACGAAGCAGCAGCGACAAAGGAGTTTACGTCTTGCCACAATGATACATTTGGCACAAATTCACAATGTAATTACGAACGTGTAGCCCGAGAGGAGAGCAAGCATAATGTCATCGAGTAGAGCTAGTCGGTTGTCTGGCAAGTGCGTATTTACTGCCTAAGCGTGCAATGGTATCGAGATAGAGAGGAATCTTTACTCCATGCAAAAGAGCTTTGTGCTTGAGCAGCACGACACACTTGCTCAATCAGCTGCACTATAGCCTACTGCTGATACACATTCATGTCAACGGTACCAATAGCCGCTAACTATAGCTTCGATAGTGTTACAAACATGGCAAGACCAACAACGTATGCAAAACATTGTATTGAGGCGTAATACAGTCATGAAAAAAAACAGTCTGTCTAGCATGTAGGCGAGTGCACCCAGACGTCGTAGCAAAAGCGCGGATACTTGGTGGGACGGGCATGATCAGGCAGAGTCATCAGGTAGTGGCGCTGGAGCAAAAGGCCAAGCGTTTTCCAAAGCGAGCGTGAAGCGTGAGTCGCTCAGAGGCATGGGCATTTGGTTCCACACGACAGTATCGAGCGCATGGCGGGCCTTCTCCGGCAGCTGGTCCCACATGATCAGTTGGGGTTGGAACTGACTATCCAAACGTGACAAGCGGAGCTTGCGCCGGAGACCGTCCTTCCCCAACTCGACTTTGACGCTCGACCCGGCCATAAACTCCCGGGCAGGCGGGACTGCTTTCGTGTAGACACGTTGAACATCGTCCCATATCGACACCGCCTCAAGCGTCTGGTTTTCTCCTGCAGGGTTCCTGAGCCATACGACGACGTGCTCCCAGTCGTAATTTTCGTACTTACGATTGTACGTCGGGAAATGCCACGCGAACATCATGGCCCATCTGTCCCGATGCCACGTCCCGCGCCCGAAGGTTTGAGACCCGTACTTCGGTCCCTTGCATTTAATGTCAGCCATTCCATCTTCAATCGTGAGGCCCTCATTCGTCTTCCCCGCTGCATTCACAGCCGGAAACGAGAAGCATCCCTCAGAAACGTGGAGATGAGGCTTGAACTTGACGCCCGCCATGTCGGTGACTGTCTTGGGCTTCGGCTCAGGAAACGGCCTTGCGTGCTCGAGGTCGATCGGATAAACCTCCCATTGTTTCACGTCCGGCTTCGAAGCAGAAGGCGAACCAAGAGTCGAGGAAGGGTTTTGTTCCGGAAAGAGTTGATCCACCTTATCGGGGTTGGACGACTTCTCCTTGGCAAGCACCGCAGCTCCAGCGATCAAAGCGATGTAGGGGAAGACACTCGCCTTCATGTTTGCTTTTCGCCTTGCCTCGGAGTGGCGAATTTGCAAATGAACGATGTTGCCCACCTGAAGGATTGAAGAAGTCGTTCTCGACACGACGGTGGGATATCCGTATCGCAGATGATCTTCTGCTGCGACAGTTCCGTTCGCCCATCATAAGAAACAGTGGTAGAAGCAGGTTGACCTCACGGTAATGAGCCAATGCCGACGAGTGGTTCCCGACAAAATAATTACTACGTATTCCCAAAAGTCTCAAAGTAGCGCCTCAGGTGAAGACGTGATTCGGTGGAGACACACTTCTAGGGACTTCGACCAACGATATGGAAGTGATTGCATAGCCATTCCACCACGGTTCGACTTGAACCCGAGCCTACTCACTGATGTTCCAACACACGTAGGCCTGATCCAGATATTGCGAACTCAGTCGGCTTGACCCTCGCTACATTGACACGTATTTGTTTTGCGTATCGAGCACATGATCGTAACTGACTTTGACGAGATCATCTAGAGTACACCAGACATGAACTGTTTCGAACTCGTCAGGACGGCGGCTGTCAGCGTCGTAAGGTCAGGTAGAATCCACAGGACAGTTTGTACGCTCTTTAGTTTACTGACAGCTGCAACGAGCGTGCTGTATATCGCGTCCGACGATCGCCTGCGCACAGACACTATCATTAGGTAGCTGCAAGCAGCAGATGACGTCTGCGGCTGTTTACAAGAAACATTTACGCGATTCGACAACAGCAGACACAAGATAAAGATGGGGGCTCAGTTGCCGTTCGATCGTCGTGTCAACGTCTTTGGCATAGTTTCGACTCGTCGTTGGATTCGTGTCTCAAGCAGCTGCTGGGAACCTGCAGACAAGTCCTCCGGGAGAACATTCTGGGCGGCTTCTTTCAGCCTGAGCTATCGTAATTGGCTTGCTACGCCTTTGAGCTACCAAGTGCAACGTGGCTTTTTCGTTCCCTTCGTTAGTTCCTAGTGCCTACTGTGAGCTTGATGTCCAAAGAATACGCTCTGAATGTCCAGAAATACCAAAACTGTGTGGTGCGTCGACAGAGAGCTCGAAGAGCAAGAGACTGCAGTCCAGGTGCACAGCAACAGTAGTAATCGTCCGACGAATGCTTGACCAAGAACCTGGTTGGAATTTGATCAACGCCCACGTCGTAGCGGGAACCGAGTAGAGCTTAGCAAAGGCTAGACGGCCCAGATCATCGGCTGGCACGCAGTCGTAGAAGAGAGTAGACGGTTGACAAAAACTTATTGCACGGCTGTTGGGCAGGCTATCGTCACTGTCGCCGATCAAAGTCAGACGACGATCGCTTGCACTGTATAGCAACCGCGTCTATCGCGCCATCACAAGTAGCAACGGCGCCGCAAGAATGAAACGCTCCAGTTGCGCAGGCATGTATCTTCCCTGTCGCACCTCCCCACGCGACGCGTCATTTCTTCGGCATCCGCGCTCCCCATCCGACGGATCGCGCAAGCGGCCGCTGATGGGACCACCAGTAGTCCCTCCGGCAATGCGCGTATGGGGCTGGCCGACCGCACTCGCGGCCGCCACCGTGGTCGGATTCACACGATGGTGCTGGTCAAGAACGGCCCTGTGCTTAAAAGAACGTAGTTCATGGCGGTGACGTGGGCACACTCAGTTGGTCTTTCGACACCAGTGCTGGCTATCCTCGCCTTGAGCTCCGGGCACATGCAGACTTCGCCCATTTGCGAACAGCACCGTCTTTCCTAGTGCTCACAATCTTCCGTACCACTATGCGCACGGATAGGCGCTGGAGTGCGACCGGGACAGTTCATGCAAGTATAGGTGGGCCCGGCCACGCAAGGCCTCTTCAGGTACACACGGCTTCAACCCTGACTTAGGCCCTTCCATCATCTTGCGCGAAACAAATGTAAGCGACAATTGCGAGTCTTTGCTTGATTACATATGGTACCGCACATAAGCAAACGGACCAGCAAGCGGTACACCAACCCCTGCCGACAATAAGCGTGGCTCGTTGGACACGCGCGCGCCATTTGATGCGAATTTAAGTATTTTCACTCTTTATCTGCGAAAAAAAGACCAATACATTTTGTATTCGAGCAGAAATGGAGGAGCTTCTAAATTTAGACCAAATGCTCGATTTCCATTTCGTATTTCAAAATCATCTTTCAATATATTGTAAGTGGTATCGCCCCATTTATCAGAACCTTTGTTCTTTACATTATATTTCCTGTATTTCGGATACTTATTTGTAATACTCTCGTTCAAAACGCATTTATGTCTGGAACAATAGTTATGGCGAATACCTAATCTGTGCATTATACGTAAACACATATTTACGTACCGAATAAATAAATTGCATACAACCAGCAAACCCTTCGCGTGAGTGAGTTTCTGAAGACGGGCGACTCAAATATCATGATATATCAGTCGCCCGTCTTCAGCATGACCCATCACCTGACTCGATCCGTATAGACATGCACTGTGTCAATAATTGGCTTAACATCACGGGACATGGTGCTGACAGTAATGCGCGCTACCAACCATCGTCACGGCAGCTACTCATTAATGGAATACATTGGATAATTTTTTAATACGTTACAGAACAGTGCTAGTCAATCATGTTCACACATAGTAAGGCGTTCGGTACTCAAAGCTAGACGGGACAAGTCTTCGCGACCGCATAATGATATATATGGAAGCTGGAAAAGTCTTCATACTACTATTCCTTCTTTCTGCAACGCAAATGTGAGATAGTATGGCGGCCATGCAACGGATTGTAAATTTTGTAATTTTACATTTATAATGGCTCGAGTACGAGTTACACTGACGCAACTGGTTCGACTTGGGTTGTACACATACCTTGTTTATATGTGAAAGCTATAAAACAAGTTGTCCTGGTTTCTTTTTATCAGTCTTTCTCTCTCAATATGTCACCACTTATGTAGATTATACGATTTAACGAATGGTACATTTGTTGTTTACATTACCAACCCTTTTATA